GGTGTATCGTCGGGCCGCGGGTCCCTTAGAAACGGAACCGGAGGCAGGCATGGCCTGTGCGCATTCCCTGGCGCGCGAAAACGAGGCTCCCACTGCCGGAAAAATCTTCACTAAATCCGGACTGCTCCCAAGGTATGCTGCCGAAACAATGGGGGTGGCACCGGTCGCAGGAGTTCACACGCGCGCGTGCGGAAACTTGCACCACTGTCTACACTACACCACAGTTAATCTTCGCGGAGATCAACGGAGAAAGGCCGCGACGCACACAAGGTGACTCTAGTTGCCGAGGAATTTTCAAACTAATTCATTTAAAAAGTGTGACAACTACTACGCCATGACGTCGCCACGTATTTCCGAAACAACTTCAACTGTCGATGTACTGCCTTGGAAGAAGTTACAACTTCCTCTAGATAATTATATATTTTTGAGTAGATGATGAATTTTCTGCAGATGCTTGTGCACGAAGACCAACAACTTCAAGTTCAGTCTTTCAGGCTACCACCCCTCGACGTTCCCGACTTCTGGCATTTACTGAATGGTCTCCAGCCAGTGCCACTACACTTATACACTCTCGGGATGTTACTCTACCACAACCGCGATTTACCGGAGATCATCCTCGAAATCTGCGATCTCCAATCCCGCGAGGAAGTCGTCTATATTCGAAATCTTATAGAGTATGCCTGCACAAAGCTCGCAACTTTGCAGGAAAGCGCTTATGATAAGACTTTTCATGCTGACCGATTAATTTTTCCCTCATCTCCTAAGTCTATCCCACCAAGCAACAAATTCTATATGCTGTAGCCAGCTAGTTTTTCCCTCGTAGTAATCCTTAATCTTCCCTCCATGATTCTACACCCCGCAGTCTTACGGCTCTTTATCATTGCAGTTTGAAGTTCTTCAGCGTTTTTGTGGAAATGAAGAAGCCCGAGTGATCTGTTTTAACTTGGATTCTGCCAGAATCCTCACTAGCACGAGGGCTTAAGGAATATCCTTGTGCCTTGTTTCATTACACTGGTAGACGCCGCGCAGCACCGCCACCTGCGAATAAGTTGGGAAAATTTTCTTTGCGCGGTACCCTCAAAGCTGCCGCAGCGGTTTCGACCTTGACTGGTGGAAAGTCTTTACGGACAGCTTGTCCTGTGGTGAAGTTACTCTTTGCTGTGGAGCATCCTCGATTCCTACTTGATGGCGTGCAAACAGTGCGAGAAACATTTTTCCAGTGCAGCCCAGGTGTGGAACTGATTGGTCTGGCTCTTGGAAGTATCGATACTTTTCTGGCGCACACCGCGCGCTCCTTTCGCTGCGAACCGAAGTATCGCGCACCACGCAGACACTACATTATGAGTTTGAGTAGAAGTAGAAACAAAGAGCGAGATCACTCCACGATGATCACAAACTTAGTATTATCCCCACAGTAGGGGGCAATAATGAACTCGTTTGATGTAATGTTGCAGAGAATTCATTGTTGGTATTTTCGGTTTTTTTCATTTGTTCTTTCGGTCCTTCGAGCGGTGCTAGCCATGACCGATTTGTGCGCAGAGGGGAGCGGCTCCACCGTCTATATTTGCGACAGATGGTGCAGGAGATGAGCTCCCTCACTATGCGCGAGACCTACGAAGAACACGCTGAGACGAAGGCGATGTATCACGCACTGGTCTCCGCGCCGCATACGCAAATCCGGCACTTGGTAGGGAGCAACTTCGCACTGCGGGCTTTTTCGTGCCTCAACACGCTGCCAGGAAGAATGAAGATGGTAGAACCTGGTGGGCAGGAGCTCTTCAACCCATTTCTAGACGACCGGAGCGAGGAAATGGTCACGAGCCAAATTTTGATAACTTTGGAGCTTTTGCGAGCTGTGGTGGCGCATGTTAATTATGCGACCTTTGTTTATAGACTCTAACTTAGTACCCTTGGCATGCGAGGACTGGTGCACGTTTAAAGTGTACTCGTTGCAGAACATGTAGTTTCGCATCTAAGATAAGCAAGGCCTGGTTGGTTTCTCGGTCTTTGCGGACGAGCTAGTACGACCCGCTTTAGCCCTCTGGGACGTTTACTCACGCTATTGGTCAGCACGTGCCAAGTATCGAGATGATGTTAAGGTGGGTGACTTTCATGCTCTTAAAACCAATTTCAATAACACGACCTTCAATGACTAACTAATATAATTCTGGTAGGCCATTGCTATGGCAGCGTGGAAAATACTTTTCATTCTATTTTATTCATTCTTTTGATCGGTCGTTTTTGTCCTTTTTAGAAGCACAATACGTGTATCTCGTAAAGATGCGAACTTTCGCTCCTCCTCAACAGACTTCAAGCCCCTTCATATGAGAAAGCGAGTTTGCAACAGCGAAGAACGAAGCACTCGAAGTTGTCTGTGAGATGCTGAAACTGCCGACGTTTCGGTCACGCAACGTCTTCGAGTGGGAGCCAAGACTTGACACGGCGCGAGGTGAAGCACGAAAAATCATGTTCCGAAAAGCGCTAGGAGAACCAGTGAACAAAGGTCCTGGAGACGACAGTGACGACGAAGAAATGCTGCACGAACCAGTTGAAGAACTTATGTACGAGCCTGTTTGTTCTATAGAAATATATGGCGAGAAGTACTTGAATGGATTTCTCGTAATGATAAAGATGCCTTCTGTGCGCGATGGATGTAGTATTTCCCACTTGGCTCTCTTCATTTTTTATCTCGAGGAGGTTGCACTCGACCTTGACGATGTAGGCGAGAACGAGATGACGCGGCAGCTTCTTCTCGCACACCAAAATCCTTCTTACCGGAAACCGGCATCGCTTTCGGCGAAAACGAAACAGGCTGCAAACACAGTGAAGCGTGGTTCGTTGGAGTCGTTTCCTGACGCAGATACGCGTCAAAGCGTTCGAGAGGCATTGCAGTTTCTTGCGGCATACCTGGGAGCGCCGCGTGACTTCTCGCACACGTGGTTCCCTGTTCAAGCACGGCCCCCGTGGGCAGCAACCGGTGGGGAAGAAGATCCCATATGAAAAAAATCCTTAGTCTCTTTTTCTATCATCTTGTTGGCTGCTACTCGTTTTTACTTTCGAGCAACGGTTTTGATGACTTTACTCTTTCTTTCTTACTTGTCTAATAGTTCACAATTAACAAGCTATGGACGAGCCAGAAAAAGCATGATTTTTACGACGAGTGGAAAGAAAGTACATCTAAGACCTAGCGCCAGTACGACGCTGCTTCTACGCTATTACGACATGGCAGCACTTGAAAGGTCCCGCTGGATGATGTGGGCCGATTTGCATCACGGTCGCATGTCAAAAAATGCATTTCTACAGCTGGTCCTCGACTACGGAAAAAAGCGTTGCATATGTTGATGACCCGCAAGAGCTCTAGTACTTGTTTGCGATTAATACTTGTTGAACGACTTTTTTGGCCTCCGAAAAAAACGTATCTTGAATTCCTGCTTAGAATTTGTTGTACTATCGCTCTTCAAGAACAACACATACCTGGTCCTTAACGAACACGACAAACACACTTGGTATGGGAATTAGTTCTAAGACGCGGAATTTCGAGAGTGCGAGCGGGTAGCGGAGATCGAGCCGAAAGACGACCTCGGTGGACGAGAAGAGGACCCGACTCCGCTTGGCGATTTGATCGACCACGCTAGTGGCCTACGCTTCTCCGCGAAGAATCGACCGTGGTTTCGCACCGCAGTGAATATTCTTCGGCAATTAGGTATATGTTCTTACTATGATCAGTAACTTTAAGTTTTGGTCTAGCTCGCGATTGTTCTAGAAGTGCTACGTAGCTGGACCTGCTCACAAGATTTGAGAAATGAACAAGAACAGCGCGGCTCGCAACCTTGATGTTTGAAAAATGTTTCTGAAGTGGAAAACTGTTTCCTTAGAAAAGGATATTCGTTCCCATTGTTCCAACAAGCAAAATGACTTTTCGCCACGCGACTCGTCACAACAACCAGTGTGCGACCCAGAGCCCGTGGGTAAGGCGGAGGATCTTCTGCACATTTTTTTCTTCGACTCACGATTAAGGGTTGGGAGTTGACGTCTCTAGGAGCATCTCCATGGTTTTTTCAAGTAGGAAAGCCATAGATATGCGAGCTAGAACGGTCAACTTTGAACCCCCTAAAACGATTTGCGGAGACTTCGTTCGCGGATCCGTGGGATATCGCTGTGAAGGTTTTTCCTGAGCGCTATTGGGCAACGCACTCGAACCAACTGTGCGAACAGGCTCTATTGATGGACAAAGTTCTCTGCTGCGCGGAGTTCGCAGAAGCAGTCGTGTATGGCGACTGTTTGGATTGTTCTTGACCATGCACACTTGCTTCAATAACAGTTGCAGTTCTAGAAGGAATATGAAAGCTTTTACTTTTTAGAATGAGAAAAATGCGCTTTAGTTCACATCTGCAGTTTTTCAAATAAAACTCGTCGAGTGCTGGTGGTGATCTATCCCAAAGTTTCTAAGAATGTCGAAGCATGGAGATGTGAATCACTGACCAGCACTCCAATCTTCTAAGCGTGGATCACTGACCATAGAGCTGTGAATCACTGACCAATCTTCTAAACGTCGTTCCACGCGTCACGGTCCGCCGATGTCCAGACCGAACAGGACATTTTGGATTTTGCCAAGTTTTTGATTTTGGATGAGGGTCTGGACTTCGCGCCACTGCAGCGTGCCCTGCGTCGGGATCGCAGTGCTCTGGAAGAGCATTCACCCGGACTTTGGGATGATCTCACAGGGGGCATTGGCGCATTGAAGCCCGAGCTGCAGTTGCGCGCGAGGCAGGCGCTGAGCGATACAGTAGCACAGCGACTGCGCGCAGTCTTCACCGCTGGCCCCTTTCGCTGGTTGCGCGTGCAGCGCGCGGTAGATAAGTGCGTGAAGGCGCATGGCGTGCCCGGGTTAGCATGTTGTGTCTTGCGCCCTCCAGAGCGGCTGTATGACGCGAAGGAAGTTCGCTTGAACTCCCTAGGAAAGAGCCACCGAAGCGGCTCGCCGATCGGTCGCTACGACGGTGGAAGCAGTCCATCGAACGATAATGCAGCGCAGCTGGCAGTGGAAGCGGGTGCCATGTCTTCGGCAGTGCGAAACGCGCAGTATAGGAGACACTATCTGAGCCCGTTCAATGATACCGGTGATGGAGATTACCTGTGCAAAAACTTTTCTCCGGATGAGGCTGCAGCGTCAACTCAGGGTGCCCTCGTGCCTACCGGTGTCGCGCCGGGCAGCCCATCCGGTGCGGGTGGATCGAAAGGACGTGGTAACGACGGCACCTCTGGTGCGATGGTCGAAGTCGGACGCTCATTCATCTGCGGGAGGTCAGGGTATGTCTACGTCACACCGCGCAAACCGCTTCGGGAGGATACGAAATTCTCACTCGGAACTTTTGCACAAGTTGTTTCCACTGCGTTTTTTGTAGATCGCCTACTCGCCTCCGCACCACAGCGACGGCTGCTCCTCACGGAGCAAGCGCAGGAAGCGTGGAAACCGGTATTGTACGATTTTGACCCCATGGAGGAGGCAAAAAAACGCGCCGAACGCGAGGCAAACAAATCAAAGTCACCAGCGAACGGCAAGAGAAAAAGTCCTGCATCTCCGAATGGTGATGACGGTAGTTCTGACACTAGTAGTATAGAAGATGATGGGCCACCGCCGCCACGGTCACTGTTCGAGATATTCTCGCAAGTCCCGGTCAACGAAATGCTACGGGCCGTGGGGTCCCCGTTCTCGCTGAAAAACCGCGGCGCTTTCACAGGAGCGGGTGAAACGTGTCTTCGCGAGTTGTTGGCACACGGCATCTTGGATCCTGGTGAACTGCCTGGCGTCGTGTTCACGGACGATCCGAAGCCTTCTAGCACAGACTGGCTGGAGGGACGCGCGGTCGGGTACCCGGAGCCTATACGGGTCGACCAGGAAGCTTTTTACGAATTTCAATACTGTCATGCGGGATTTCTCGTGCTGCAGCACTTGGTAGAGCAATCCTGTCTTCTTGGAAAAGACGCGAGGGTATACCAACTGGATCGTCTAGGCGCGAATGCGCGTATTCAGCGAATAATGGAGCGATGGCTACAGAGTGCGCTGAGCCTGCCGCCAGGCGCACTGGGCTTCACTTTGACCGAGGACGCGGACGACGATGTCAATTACAAAGAGGGGGCGCGCGACCAGCAGTCGCCTGTGGTAGTGCCCGCATACTATGCCCTTGGACACTTGACGACGTTTGATGCGAGCAAACCTACGACCGCGCGGCGCATACTCCAGGAGTATCCGGGCTACGCGATGGGACTGCATGGGAGTATTGCTGGCATGGGGCGCTTCTTGGCGCAGTTCATGGCCGCGTACGGTGGTACGGACCCTTTGTCATGCGTAGGACACGATGCGGCGCGGTTTTTACTACACTGTGTACAGTTCCAAGAGGTTCACTCGGGTCCGGCACGACAACTGGGTTGTGGCAGCGCAGTCGCACAGAGTGGCTGTTTTGTATTTGCGGTTGGAGACGCCTGTTTGCGCCCGCAGCGCATCGCGGTGCAGCTGTACTCAACAGAAGGGTTCTGCGGCGTCTTCTGCGTTTGCATAACGCCTGGCCCGGACTTCGGTCGCGGGGCCGTCGTATGCTGCAATCAGAGCGAGCGCGCCGGCTGTCTTGCGGACGTGCTCGCACGCGTGCTGGAGGAGGAAAACTGGGCACAACCTTTGGTGCCACGGTCAGATGATGTTCTTGCGAGGCTCAAGGCGGAAAGCAAACGGGCAGCCGAAGCAAAGGCAAAGGGCGGTGGAATGTCAATCACTGGAATGTTTGCCGGAGGAAACGAGGCCAAGGCAACGGAGGAACAAACAGCCGAAGCAGGTGCAAAAGCGAATCAGATTGAAGAAAAGAAAAACACAATTTCAACTACGACAGATGCAGGTGGGGAGGAGCCTCCGTATGACGATCCTATTCTGGTGCATTTTCGGGAGCATGTCTTGGACCGATTTTTTCAGACGATGTTATCATATCCGCCTCGAAGGCCACAGGACCCACGCTGCGAGCCGGTTAGAATGCCCAGTATAGGATATGCGGAATCCTCATCACCAAGCGGCGCGAGAAAACGAACAGGAGAGTTAGCAAATGGCAGTCCGAAGTCTACATCTCCGGGAACAAAGGAAGCGAACGGATCAGGCCCTACCAAATCAAATGAGGCAGCGGCTTCATCGTCAGAACTGTTGATGAATCCCCTGCTCGATCCGGCCTACAATCTTTTTGCAGCAGAGCAGGGGGTGGAAATCACCGAATGGTCGGAGGAAGGCGCTCTTGGACTGGTTGACAATCTTTTTTCTCAGGCCTTTCCAGCGAGTGCGGACGACGCGTGGTGCACACGGCGGCACAATCCTGCACGCTCGGACTTCGTCCGATTCACGGTGTCGCCCGATCGCCTGCTGACTCGGCCCCGGCCATCGTCCGATGACAGAGGTAAAAAGCCCGAAGAACAAACCGAGACTGCTCCGCACGGCGACGTTGCCGATACAGTTCCGCTGCCGAATAAGGCTTGGGTACTCATGCTGAGCACGGGTCGTGTGTCTGCAGGTGACTTGCCTGAACGATGCACGCTTTCGGTGTTCGATCGTGAGAAAAAGAAATGGGTGGACTTGCTTTCGTCTCCGGCACATCCTACCTTCAACACACAACACTGGCTTCGCGTGCAGTCCGAAACACTCACTGCTGTGCTAGAAGCCGACCGAGAAGCATTCGTACCAACAGATCTGGAGTTTCGTATATTTCCGGACGGGGGAATCGCTCGGATTGCTTTGTTTGCGGAAGACACACTGCGCGATCTTCTTTCGTGTGGTAGTACTAGCGGAACTCCTGTTGCGTGGGCCAACACAGGATTGGACAGTGTGTCCGCGTTGGAGAAATTTCTCCAGCCAAACGCCGCCAAGGCAAGCCTTGCGTCAGAAGAGCTGACGCGGGCCGAGCGAGTGAAGCGACGGCTGCAAGAAGAAGCGGCGCTGGAGGCCGCAGGGAAGACTTCTGCAGCGACGGCGAAAAGCAATTCAAAGTGTGGAGGTCCTGGAAAGACCGCTGCTAACGGAGACCACTCTCCTTCTAAAGATGGCGGCAACAGGGATGCGAGCAGTGGTAAGCAAGAAGGAAGCAAAGCGCCAGTGATTAGCTTTCGGGTACGAAGAGCATACTCACGAAACCGGGGTTTTCTCGGTTTGCCGCCAGACCCGTCGGCGGAGGTGCTAGCGTTCACGCCTGCCAGTAACCCGGACGCCTTCACAGACGTGCTCGTGAACGTGGCCTCGGTGCAATGGGGTGCGCAAGTGTTGTTTCCAACGCCGAAGATGGTGTTGGAGCAACTGGCCCAAAGACACGCCTCCAGCCTGCCGCCGTTGAGCGAGAGCGCGAGCACGCCCGAGGCGCGAGCCGCTGGGCGCGCCTTATCCCAGATTCTTGAGGACGACCCGCCCAGTCGCGCACTCCATTCCCCGACCAGTGTGTTCAGTGCTCGGTACAGCGCGCACGCGAGAGAGACGGGTCCCTTCGCTCCCCCATCGCGGTTTCACCCTACGCTGCGTGAGCGCGGCTGCGTCCTTCCAAGGTTGCGAAGCACCGATGCGAGCGCCAGCTCGGTGCTCATGGTTGTCCTCGCACGCGAGTTCGAGCGCGATAGCTTCGTCAAGGGATCGGAGATAGCGCGCGTTGAGCTTGACTTCAGCCTGGTACCCCACGAGACGCCGCAGTTTGTGCAGGTCTACGGCGCAAACTTGACCGCCACAGCGCCTCTCAAACTATGACCCAGTTTCAGACTTGATAATTCAGAGTAGCCAGCATCCACTTTGTTTTTGTATGATGTGAATTTGCCTATACAGATAGAAAACAAGAATTTGTGAATGTCATTTGCGGATTTCAATACGTCTAAGATATGAGCCGGCCCTTCTCGAACGTGGAGCACTCATGGTTCAGTCAGCAGCAGACGCTGGGGTTGATGGTCAGGCGTTGCGTCTTCTCCAAGGGGGAGGGTTTTATCCCCTTTGCGAGCGGCGTTTCTGCAAGCCCTATGCTGGAAGTGTGCTTTCGCTGGATGATTTCAGTGAGTTTGCGCATAAATTCCGACTTCCCACTGCCGCGAAAGACCGGGAAAGGAAAAAAGCAAAGAAAACTAAAACTCGCCTTCCGGAGGTGCGTCTGACGCACATCGCGGTCCGCTTTTTCCCGTGCGGCGGCCTCACGAGACTGCGAGTCCTCACGCGCAAGTCGGAACTCAAAAGTGAGCACTTGCGTGTTCTGGCAGAGGCGGACTGAAGTGTTCTTCGATTTTTTCAATTCTGCGCAGCACGTAGTTCTTCTACAATTCCAATATTTTCTTACTTAACCAGAGGTAGCCTCGTCGTGTGATAGGTACTCGTACGATGGTATTATAAAGTCAGTCTCGTGTTAATATGCTTACTCAGTCTCGCGTGAATATGCTCAGTTGATTGGTGACGTCAATATGCTCAGTATCAAATGCTAATAATATACTCAGTCTCGTATCAGCATACTTACTCAGTGTCTCCATGCTCATGCACTATTCAGTCTCGTGTCAATATACTTACTCAGTCTCGTGTCAATATACTTACTCAGTCTCGTGTCAATATACTTACTCAGTCTCGTGTCAATATACTTACTCAGTCTCGTGTTGATATACTCGAACTCGTGTTATATTCAGTTGTGTCCTGCGGTTAGTCTCATGTTGATATATTCGTTAGTTACTGTGTCGTCTTGCTGCGGTGGGCACTTCGTAGTAGTCAGTCTCGTGATACGAGCACAGCTTTCTATCTTAGTGACCCTCATGTTACGAAGGTTGCTGGCACTGTCGTGTTATAGCACTCTTAATTTCCTGATGCTTTACCTGTCGGTTTCTAGAACAAAAATTATAACGTAGGTACTCTGTCAATGTGTAAATATTCCAAGAATTCTGCTGCCAAGTCCGAATGAGGGATCCATCCCATGCCGATGCCACAGCTTATGCAGACACCAGGCTCCCTGTACTACAAGACAGAGTAAGAAAATTTTTACCTAGTATGTCAGAGGTGCATTTAGCGAAGCGTCTGTGAACGTTAAGTTCCTAGGTAGATCTTACCACTCTTCTAAGCATAGATGCGCATAATACATAGAGGATCCTTTTCTTTTCCAATGAAGATCATCGAGATCAATGAAGATAGAAATTCAAAGATCACGCATCTGCGACTCAGAGAGCAACTATATTTCTACAGTGGGCGTCGAGTAGATCAGTTGATGAAGATCATATTGCACACCCACGAAAGTCGAGTAGCATTTTCGTATCCCTTCTTCCCATAGTCGACCCGTATTTAGTTTGAAGACCCATGCGAACGCTTGACAGGATTTACTGAAGTTTTTATCAAAATTTCTGAAAGTGTTTAAAGAAGCGTGACCCAAGATTGAGAAACGTACTTAAACATTTTATGATTGAATGTTTGGAGAAATGACATAGAGATGAGCATACTAGCCTCCACAAGCTTCGCCCGGCTTCAAGTTAGTTTAGCACTTTTCTGCGGCCTCCCACGGGCTACAGCCGCTAGAGTTGTAGAGACAGCCGGCGGGTGAGCTGATGCACCTTACGAATTGACTACGACAAGAGCCGAGTGCCGGCGGTGGCCGACTCAGATGCGTCGACTCATGTGCAGGGCATTGCGCTGCCTTCGGTTTTTTTTTTGAGATTGCCGGGCGGGTCATGCAAATTCTTAAGAATTTGCAAGACCCCCACGGCAGTCCAACAAAAAAACCAGAAGAGAGCCACCAGACACGCACAAGAATCCGCAAGCCCCAACGCACGCAAGCGCCTCGCGGTGGCGCCAGGCAAGAACGAGGGGCGACCTTGATGGGCCAAACAAGACAAAGCAACGCAGGGCCGCGCTGCTTGGGTCTCTCTACGCGCTTACACCTGGCGGGGCTTCTTTGTTTCGTCAGA